TCTACACTCCAGGGCCTCCTGGCTGTGCTCTTTTGGCGGTGGCATCTGGTTAAACATCGGATAAAGATTACAGCCAAGAAAACCCTATGAGGCAGTTCTGCTCTGTCACATGGGGTCTCTATGAGTTGGAATCGACTCGATGGCGCCAACAACAATAGTTATTCCACAGCTATTTCAGTCTGCAGTGCTATCAGGCCGACTGTATTACTGTACTTCCTTTACACATTTGGGCTCAGGGGTAAGGACTTGTGGTGCTTCTGGATCCTAAGCAGCTGAGCTGAGCTATTCCCACAGGAAGCGCTCTGGACACTGATCCAGTGATTTGACCTTCTTGTCAGTCTGGGCAGGGTTGGGTGCCTGCTGGGCTATGCAGACCTGCTATGAGTCAGGCAATTAATTGTTCTGGAGAAAGGCAATGGCTCCCTGCCTAGTGGGAGGTGGCAGCAATGATTGTAGAAAGGGCTCACCCTGTGCCGTTGCTCCCCTGATTGGGGAGTTATGACTGATGAAGGGAGATAAGGTGGGGAGTGGAGGGCTGCGCGTGTATGTGTGTGTGTGTGTGTGAGAGAGAGAGGGAGAGAGAGAGAGAGAATAGTGTCTGAGGCTCTGAGATTTGAGGCTATTATGAGATGACTAGGTATTTATTATGTGAGAATAATTTTGCAGATGGTGGTATTGTTGCTTTTTGGGGCTTCATTTTGTTCCAAAATCCAAGTAAAGTGCCAGTTTCATTATTTTAATAAAAATAAATAGTGCAAGCACTCTTAACTGCAAGCAGTGAGTCCTGGGTCCTGAATTCTGAGAAGGGGTCAGCGCAAGCCTGAGCTGAAGTTTGGTTGGGAGTGCCTGTAGTTTTGTACAAACAGACCCCTTTGCCCGGTCTGTGCTGCTTTCGCTGCTTTGGAACTTTCTCTTTCTCTTTATGGCTCCTGACTTTCCTCTTCTTGCCCCTCTTCCTCTTCCTGAGTCTCTCTTCAGAGGTTCTCTACATTCTAGCTGTTCAGGCCCAACTGTCAAGGACTGCAGCAGGAATGGGTTGTACCAGGCGAACTGAAAGCCAAGGATGCAGGGATGTTCCCAGGAAGCCTTGGTGGGGTGAGGGAGGGAGGGAGGACTCAGTCCTCTGGGGCTTTGTTCCCCAAACAGGAAGGTTTAGACACAGTTTGGATTCATAAGCAAACAGGCATCCCTTGAGGCTGAGTGGATTGGAACTCTTTTAGAGTATTCTTTGGCCTCATTAATAGGCAGGATTTATACACATCGGTCGAGGGGAACCATTGTCCACAAACAGATTAGCAGTGGTGAAAAAGGAACGCCAGGCTCTCTTGAAAGTTCCCAAGATGCTAAACCCTGAAAATGTGGCAGGCTTCTTTGAATGTGCCGTCTGCACATTTGCCTTTCTATTTAAGCGTGCTCTTTCAGTTGCACAAAAAGCAGATATTCTTTTTTCTGGAGGAAAGATTTAACAATTTACAAGTGCAACATTAGTCACTTGGATGAGGCAAGGGGTTATAGAAGAGAACAGAATAAAAAGCCTGTACTTTGCTTAGCTGATGTTCTCCACTGCAATTAAATGCCTCAAATAGAGGCTGAGTTCGATCTTCTTGTTTAATGAGAGGTGCCAGGGTGACAAGACAGCATATTTCAGATGAGAAAGAACTTTCTAAGGGTCCAGGAGAAAATGACCGTGAACGTCTTATCCTGTCAGCCCTGTTGGTTGCTACTACTCTGTGTGTGCGGGAGTTGGATCCTCACAGGGCAGTGATGCTGGACTATCTCAGATCTGCTGGCCCCACCTGGTGTTCACTCACCAAACCAACCCAAACCAAACTTGCTGCCGTCTAGTCAATTCTGACTCGTAGTAACACTATAGAGCAGAGTAGAACTGCCCCCTAAGGCTTCCAAGGAGTGCCTGGTGGATTAGAACTGCCGACCTTTTGGTTAGCAGCAGTAGCTCTTAGCCACTGCGCCACCAGGATTCCATTCACCCATCAGTCTGTCACAAATTCGCTTGGAAAATGTGGTTCTCCAAGTACAGAGGGGGTCTTTTCTTTTTTACCAACTTTCAGCAGTGGATTTAGGTAACAACAATCCATGTGTCACAGTTCAACTAAATTCTTAAGCTGCTAGAAATTCTGAATACCTGTAATTCATCTACCTGTATGTTTCCTGACTTAATGGTTTTGAATAGCATGTCAGTTGCTGTCAAGTTGATTCCAACTCATGGCAACTCCATGTGCGTCTGACTAGAATCGAACTGCTTTGGAATTTCAATGGCTGATTTTTTGGAAGTAAATCACCTGACCTTTCTTCCAAGGCACCTCTGGGTAAACTCAAACCTCCAACCTTTCAGTTTAACAGCCGAGCATGTTAACTGTTTATGCCACCCAGGGACTTTGAGTAATACAGAGGATATTTATCCAGTCTTTTTTTCTTTAACTAAAGCAAGAGGAATTTGGGTTAGATGTAAGAGAAAACTTTCAGGCAGTGAGATTTGTGGCACAATGGCCTGTGAGGGCGACTGTAAAATCTTTTAGGAAAGGTTTTAAGTAAGAGGATCAATTATCTACCTAGGTTTTTTCTCTAGATACCACCCTGCCTGACAAGAGGGATTGGGGCTAGCTCAGTGCTCTCCAAGTGCTAAGGTACCACCTTCACAGTTCTTGCTATGTTTGAGTTACACCTATAGAACTGTTTACTCATGATTTTCCTTTAAATGGATTTATTTCTTTTAACGTTAGGCCCATCTTAAGCAATGATATTGTACCAGCAAAATCATGGGTTGATGTGCTACTGACAGTGTATTGCATGTACATTAAAACATATGATTATTAACATAAAATAATGTTTACTTGTGTACTACTTGTAGTGATCCCGTGTTACCACCAGTGGGATGCATTTAGCACTTGGGGAAATGCTGGACTGAGTGCTTGTGAAGGTCCTTTTCAGTCCTATGGTTATATGCTGTTGGCCATTACTATATGAGTCACTTTTACACTCAGTTATGATTTAGGTGGCATCACCCCTATTTATAAAGATGAGGGAAAGGCTGTTTTAGTCAGGCCTGAACAGGTCTGTATTGTCAGTTCAGAAAGCCAGTGTGGCATGTACACTTGAATATGCTGTTCACTCACAGTCTTCCTGGGACCCGCCGGCTCTGCAAAGCCGTGTCTGGGTGGCTTGGTGATTAGTCTCCATGGTTGTCAACGTGGGCTGACTTCAGAATCACTGGTTCATCCTTTCTGGGTGGAGAGCCATTGCTTGATGATCTCTAAAGTCAATTTTACTTCCTGATTAATTCATTTGAATCATAGCCTGGAGGCTGGCTTTTATTACCTTTGATCTCACCCATGGTTTTTAGACCAATAATGGGCGTGTTCCCTTGTTCCTCATTTCCACACGTCATCATAAGAGAATGGTCTTTTATCTGCATCTGTATTTTTCAATTATAGTGCAGATTGGTAAACTATCTCCATTCTCTGCTTTAGACTATCAGAATTACATTGGCGTATTTAACTTAGATTTAGAGTATTTAATACACAAATAAATAGTTTAATTAAATTTTGTCATTGTTTATCACAAATTTAGATTAAGAATTTATGTCTAGCCCTTTATACTATGAATTTTAATGCATATTCTGTGCAATGACTGTCTTCTTGCTGCACTGGCTCAAACGTTTACTCAGTAAATATTTATTGACTGCCTCCTCGACGCCAGCCACCATGCTCGACACTGTGTAGTGTCCTGACATATGCCCAAGCGCCTGCCATTGGGGGTTCCAAAAGGTCTGGTATCCCAGACTGTGAGAACTTTCCAAGAAAGGTGATGTAGTGGCAGCCTTACTGCTTCCCTGGCTTAGAACGGTGCTGGTTCAGAGTAGATGCTTGGTAAATACTAGTTTTCTTCCCCCTCATTCCATTCAGGAGGCTAGAGCTCCATAGCCAGTTCCTTTTTAGGCTCTTCCTACTGATGCCTTCTGTCCCAGAGGGGAGAGTTGGGCAGTAGGGGCCTATCAAGGCAAAAGTGTAGCATTCCAGGTGCCTGGAGACATCTTGCAGCCCTACATTGGCCACAGAGCATGCAGCATGGAGCGGGCACACCCTTAGGATGCTCAGTTTACTGTGTCCTTGTGGCCAAAGTGGTGTTTGTCAGATTTGACTCTACAAAACTCTTAAGAAAGTGTTCACAACCCCCAGCCTGAAAAACACTGCACTTCTTCAGTGACTTCTATTTGGAGGCAAGTGCCATGTGCATCCTCCTTTGTGAAAAGACCTACTACCTCCCCTAACAAAATCAAGTCCTAGCAGTTAACACACTTGGCTGCTAACAGAAAGTGTGGTGGTTCATGCAGAGGCCCCTCAGAAGAATGTCCTGGTGATCTACTTCCAAAAAATCAGCCCTTGAAAACCCTATGTGGGGTTGCCATGGGTCAGAGTTGACTTGACAGCAACTGATTTTTTTTAATCCATACATGGAGAAGACGTTTGGATCTTGTGGCCCCAAATGCATTTACCTAGTGCCAGGCTTGGAGGACCCTTTGGTTTTTGTTACTCGATTGCATTTTCTTTTGGAATATCAGATCTGTTTTGACAGGGTCTAATATACCAATGATTGTTGATGGGACTAGGGAGACATGATCTTGTTTTGGGGTAGGCGAGACTGAGGAGTAAGAATTACTAGAATATTTTGCTTCCTCTTTCTACCCCTGTAATTCCTATGGACTTTGTCCTTAAGGGAAAAATAAAAAGCCATTTGGCCATAGGTGTGGCTCACACACAGAGTTCAACAGACCGAGAGGCTGCACTTTAAAGTAAGGAGAGTCCTCATTTACTTGTGGTGTGCTTTTGGGAATTATGCCATTAGGCTCATTTCTCCTCATCTCCTTTCCCCACAGAGAGTGGGCACTGTACTGCCGGGGAAAGGTTTGCCACGATTGAGCCCCAGGTGGCCTCTTGAACTTCTCTCTGATCTCTGCTTCTCTGCACTGCCTTCTTGCTTAGCAAAAACAGTCACCACCGAAGAGTGCCTGGTGAACCCTGTTGGCATGAACCGCTACGGTGTGGACCCCTCCACCTCCGCCTTTAACCACAGGGGCTCCTTGTACCCCTCCTCCTCGCCATACCGCAAGAGGCAGAACTCTGGAGACAGCCGCCTTGGGGGAGGCCCTGCCACCACTGCTGGAGGTGTCCGCACCAACCTCCTGTCCTCTGGAAGCCCTTCAGCATCTGGGCTGAGGCCCCCAGCCTCCAGCCCCAAGAGAAACGGGACCTCTCTTGAAGGAAACAGATGTGGTAATGTAATGCATGCATTGGCTTCCCCATGACTTCGTCTCCTCTGCCCTTGCCCTGGGACCACTGCATGTGGAGGGGAGGCCATGACTGTGAATGCAGGACCACTGGGGAAAAGCAGAAGCTTGCATGAGCTCCTTCATGGATTTTTGTTATTGTCCAAAGCTATCAATCTCAGCCCTTGACCCATAAACATACATATTGGTGGATTAGGGTAGGCTAGACTGTAGGAATAAGTAGACTCCAAATGTACATTGGCTCAAATACAATAGAAGTTTATTTTTTGTTCAAGGGTCCCAGGTGGGTGTTCCTAATTGGTGGGGGCATCTCTATTGATAGAGCCAGGCTGCATTCATTTTGTTGCCCTGCCATTCCCTATGGCCTCCATGCCCTGTGCGTACAGTGGGCAGAAAGGTTACAAGTGTGTGGAGAAGGCATGTATTCTTCTCTGGAGCCCAAAGTGGTACACATTACCCCCACTCACATTCTGTTGGCAAGAGCTGATCATTTTGCCGCACTTAACTGCAAGGGAGTCAAGGAGGTGCCTAGAATTGGTAAAGAGTTTTCCCTCGCATAGCGGAAGCCACTTGCAGGATATAAATACATGCGCATAATCAAAGTTAAGCAAAATTCCCATAATGCTGGTTGTAATGCCACCTCTGTCTTCCCCACTAAAGAAAACTTATTGGAATGCAATGTATGAAAGTGCTGTCATTATAGAGATATTTTGGAGTCCATTCAGATTTATGTATTTTAAAAATTAGTATCAAGCTTCAGTATTTCAGCATAGTGGAAATTGCATTGACTGTGGAGCCAGTCTGCCTGGACTGAAATCCTGGATCTCCCACTTCCTGACTGCCTGACCTTCAGGAATTAGTTTTTGTGTATGGTGTGAGGTATGGGTGCTGTTTCTTTTTTTTGCAGATAGACATCCAGTTTTGCCAGTACCATTTGTTAAAAAGGCTATCTTTTCCCCATTTGATTGACTTTGGTCCTCTGTTGAAGATCAAGTGACTGTAGGTGGATGGATTTACCCCTGGGTTCTTAATTCTGTTCCATAAGATTTTTGTTTTCTTTATGCTGAGGTGTAATCCATACTGAAGGCTGTAGTCTTTGATCTTTATCAGTAAACGCTCAAGTCCTCTTCTCTTTCAGCAAGCAAGGTTGTGTCATCTGCATAATGCCGGTTGTTAATGAGTCTTCCTCCAATCCTGATGCCCCATTCTTCTTTACATAGCCCAGCTTCTCAGATTATTTGCTCAGCATACAGGTTATATAACTATGATGAAAGGATACAACCCTGGCACACACCTTTCCTGACTTTAAACCGTACAGTATCCCCTTGTTCTGTTTGAATAACTGCCTTTTGATCTTTGTACAGGTTCCTCATGAGCACAATTAAGTGTTCTGGAATTCCCATTCTTCACAATGTTATCCATAGTTTGCTATGATCCATACAGTCGAATGTCTTTGCATAGTCAATAAAACAGAGGTAAACTTCTTTCTGGTATTCTCTGCTTTCAGGTAAGATCTATCTGACATCAGCAATTATATCCCTCATTTCACGTCCTCTTCTGAATCTGGCTTGAATTTCTGGCAGTTCCTTGTCAATGTACTGCTGCAACCCTTTTTGAATTATCTGCAGCAAAATTGTACTTGTGTATGATATTGTTTGATAATTTTTGCATTCTATTGGATCACCTTTCTTAAGAATGCGCACAAATATGGATCTCTTCCAGTCGACTGGCCAGTTAGCAGTCTTCCGAATTTCTTGACATAGATGAGTGAGCATGTCTAGCATTGCATCCATTTGTTGAAACATCTCAGTTGGTATTCTGTTAATTCCTGGAGCCTTGTTTTTTGCCAATGCGTTCGGCGCAGCTTGGACTTCTTCCTTCAGTAACATCAGTTATTGATCATATGCTACCTCCTGAAATGGTTGAACATTGACCGGTTCTTTTTGGTATATTGACTCTGTGTATTCCTTCCATCTTCATTTGATGCTTCCTGCATCATTCAATATTTTGCCCATAGAATCCTTCAATATTGCAACTCGAGGCTTGAATTCCTTCTTCAGTTCTTTCAGCTTGAGAAATGCCAAGTGTGTTCTTCTCTTTTGGTTTTCTAACTCTAGGTCTTTGCACGTTTCCTTATATAATACTTTACTTTGTCTCCTTGAGCCACCCTTTGAACTCTTCTGTTCACTCTTTTACTTCACCATTCCTTCCATTCGCTTTAGCTACTCTATGTTCATGAGCAAGTTTCAGAGTCTCTTCTGACATCCATTTTGTTTTCTTTTTTTCTTTCCTGTCTTTTTAATGACTTTTTGCTTTCTTCATGTATTATGTCCTTGATATCATCCCACAACTCATCTGGTCTTTGGTCATTAATGTTCAATACATCAAATCTGTTCTTGAGATTATCTCTAAATTTAAGGGAGATATACTCAAAGTTGTATGGTGGCTCTCATGTACTTGTTTTAATTTTCTTGCATAGGAGCAATTGATGGTCTGTTCTGCAGTCAGCCCCTGTCCTTGTTCTGACTGATGATATTGAGCCTCTCCATCGTCTCTTTCCACAGATGTAGACGATTTGATTCCTGTATATTCCATCCAGTGAGGCCTACACGTATAGTCACTGTTTATGTTGTGAAAAAAGGTATTTGCAATGAATATAAGTCACCAGTCTTGCAAAATTCTATCATGTGATCTCCAGCATTCTTTCTATCATCAATGCCCTATTTTCCAACTTCTGATTCTTACTGTTTCCAGCTTCAGAATTCTAATCACCAGTAATTATCAATGCATCTTGATTGCATGTTTGGTCAATTTCAGACTGCAGGAGTTGGTAAAAATCTTCAATTTCTTCATCTTTGGCATCAGTGGCACTATATCTGACAGTGTTCCACTGCTATTCATCAGATAATGTTCCAGCCAATTGTTTAGAAGTAGATTGTCAGGTCCTTCTTCTTAGTCCATCTTAATCTGGAAGATGTGCTGAATCCTGTCCACCATGGGTGACCCTGCTGGTATTTGCAATACCAGTGGCATAGCTTCCAGCATCACAACAACACACAAATTGCCACAGCTGAGAGACTAGTGGTGGCCTACTACGTAGAAAGAGCTTAATAAATGTTCAATAATAGAAATAGTTGGAGTAGTCACAGATCACTTGAACATAGCCCTCAACAGATCACAGTCCATCAACTCTGCATCTGAAGAAAGAAGACCCCAAGCCAAGGAATCATGGAGTCTCCATCTTCCCCCTTTGTGGCTTCTTAGCTGGCGGGCTCTGTTGTCTTTGGCAAGCCACATTTCTGCTCTGAGCCTTGGATCCCTCCACCAGTGGCCCCAACAAGCTGCACACATGAGCTATTTAATATATTCCAAGATCTTCCACACTCACCTCAAAGACCCTCATCCCTCTCAGACTAGCCTTGCCCTAACATGCTTCCCCTGGCTTAAGAGGGAGGTGGTTCTGAGGGGCAGGACATAGATTCCCTCAGCTGTAGGGGCTCTTGCCTGAATGTAGAGGTTCCCTGAAAACTACTCCCTGACATTGTTATGCAGGGCCATCTGGCCAGGCAGAAGATTTGGATGGGCAAAGCCCCATTTTTAAAAGGGGAGAGACATTGTTCTTTCTGATCTCTAAGACCAAGGGAAGGGGACAAGACCTGGTACAAACAAACCAACATCTTAAAGTAATTCAGAAATAAAACCAAATCTATTGCCCTCAAGTCAATTCCAACTCTTAGTGACCCTATAGGACAGAAGAGAACTGCCCCATAGGGTTTCCAAGGAGCGGCTGGTGGACTCAAAACTGCTGACCTTTTGGTTAGCAGCCAAGCTCTTAACCACTGCGCCACCAGTGATCCAAGTAATTCAGAGGCGGTAATTATTCCATAGGTTTATCAGAGTTAGCATGATATCTGGTACGTAGTAGGTGTTTAATAAACATCCATGTGTCTGATCCCTCATGGTGCCCAATGGCTTCATATTACCTCCTGGTTGTCAAAACCCTCATCCCGGTGCCTCCGCACATGATCTGCTTTCTAAATGTCTCTTTCTCTCAACCTCTTCTCAATCCAATTCCCACTTTCTCAGAGTGGTGATCACAGGACAACAACCTGATTATTAACTCATACACCTGAGAATATGCCATCCCTGGGTGGTGTAAATGGTTAAGTGCTCGACTACCACCTGAAAGGCTGGAGGGTTGAACCTACCCAGAGGTGCCTAGGAAGACAAACCTGGCAATCTGTCACAGCCTTGAAAACCCTCTGGAGCAGTTCTACTCTGCACAGATGGGGTTGCCATGAGTTGGAGTCAACTCCACAGCAATTAACTACAACAACAACCTCAGAGTATTGCCACTTTACAAAAAGGAGATTGTTACTCCCTCCCAGCTCAAGATCATCTGTTGTTGTTATCTGTCATTGAGTCAGCACCCAGCTCATGCTGACCCCATGCATAATGAACTGTTGTAATGAATAGAGTTTTCACTGACTGATATTCAGGAGCAGATCACTAGGCCTTTCTTCCTAGTCTGTGTTAGTTTGGACGTTCGGCAGAAACTCGTTCAGCATCACAGCAACACATGAGCCTCCACTGATAGATGGGTGGTGGCTGTGCACAAGGAACATTGGCTGGGAATCAAACCCAGGTCTCCTCATGGAAGGCAAGAATTCTACCACTGAACCACCACTGTCCCCCAAGATTATCTACGTGGTGAAATTTCAGGCCCGATGTCTTAAGCACAGAATTTCAAGCAGTATGAGGGAGGCACTGTTTGGCTGGAAAGAACTTCTGTCACTTGTTCAAGAATTACCTGCCCCATCTCAATCTTTCTGGTGGCCCTGGGTTAGCGGAACCCAGGACTCTTCAAAAGATCTCAAAGTACTTTCTGCTCCCCTCCCCCCAGTCCCTCACTGCCTCCTTTCAGCTGAGCCCTGGAAAACCCTCCCCATCCCCGCCTCGACAACCCTCCTGTCCTTCATTTTCATC